ACAAAAATTTTCTGTCTAAACTAATTTTTTCGACGTTTTAAAGATTATCTCATAGTTTTTGATAATTTCTAGCAGATCAAAAGTAGATGCAACATTGAAAAAAAAAAGCTGTCCTAACCAAAATTAAAGTTTACAGTTAAATATTCTATGGTTTTAAACTAATTATCTTCTAAACTCTTAAATCAAAACATCATTCAAGAGAGATCATCCAAAAAAACTACTAGCCATTGACTAAACAAAATAAAATGATGAGTATGGAAAAATTGTTTTAGACGTAATACGAATCACAATTCTGAATTAGTTTTTCTTGAGATCAGGACTTGAATCGATGGAAAAAATTTTATCGGAACCAAAATAATTTGATTCACTGCACAACCGAAGGTACTAATAGTAATAAGCATAAACCGGTAATTGATGCTATGAGCATAACTAATGAATTTACTAAAATCATCTTTTAGTTTTGTTTTTTTTTTCTTCATCCTTATGCAACACTAAAGGCACATAACTTATTAATATAACAAAAAAAAACCGACTAAAGAAAAAAAAAAAGTGGTCAACAACAGAGGAATGTATACATTTAACTGTATACATCATCATCCTCAAAACAAAAAAAAAAAAAAAGAACAAGACATGCACAACAATCACATATTGTTTTGTCTATGATTAGAATAGATGAGAAAGAGCAAACAAAAACAAAAACAAAAACAAAAAAACCAATCAGTGATTCTTCTAATATACGCAAAACTGAAAATTGCTTATATTTAATTATCTGAATTAGATGTTGATGATAATATTGATGGATGTAATAGAGATTGTTCTACTTGATTTGTTGATAAAGTATTAGAATTATTTGTTAATGTTAAATCATTAACATTTAATTTTTGTTGTTGATTATTAATCATTTTTTGAATATCAACATTAATAGGACGTGACTAAAAATAAATAAAAAAAAAAGAAACATTCTATTTGAATCAAAATAATTATTACATGTCCATGACGTTTTGTTAATTGAATAAATGGTGTATTATCATAATGATAACCAGTTACAATAGCTTTAAAACACGAACCAAGAATTGTTGTTTTAACTGATTCAATTGATTCCGATGTAAAATCTTCTTGATCTAGAATTATAATAATAACTGTTTTTCTTTTACATCTATAATTTGAAAAAAAAAACGAAATCTCTTCTTTAAGTAATTGAGTATTAACATATC